CAATGCTGTCACTTAGGAAATCAAACCCGATAGAGGTATGTGAGGTTATGAAAAGATTAAAGCCTATATAAAGCGACTGGTTGTGACTTAATTCCACCAAGACGTGTTCAGCAATCAGCGGAGGTATTGTCCCAGCAATTTAGCACACTTTTTAACTATGTGCTGGGTCACACGACTGTGCCGTCACAATGGAAACTTGGTGAAATTTCTCCAGTGCATAAGAAGGACTGCAACCTAATGAAATCCAATTAGGCCTTGGCGGATTGTGCTAGCATAATTTTTGGCATAATTGGAGCAAAAAAGCATAATTTTTTAAAGGAGCACTGTCACGGCATAATTAGCAAATTTTAGCACTTTTTGGAGCATAAATTCATAAAATTAAGTAAATATGTCACACAGTCTGATTATTCAGAAACTGGCTAAATACGGTGCAGACGACAACACAGTTAGTTTAATTAAGGATTATTTAAGAGGTCACAAGCAACTAATTAAGAACATATGTCGCAAAGTGAGCCAGCAAATCGCTGTTCTGAAATTAGGATGAAGAAGTTGCTTCCTTTAAAGTTGCGGGAAAAGCTTTATAGAACATTTATTGCTTCACATTTTAATTATTGGGCAGAGTCTTGACATTTCTGCAGTAATCGCTAAACAGGAAAACTAAAAAAACTGAACGAGCAGGCACTCTGCTTCGTTTATCAGGACAAAATCTCTACTTATGAGACACTAGTTGTTAAAAATGGATATAGCACATTAGCAAATCAGAGACTTGCAAAAATGTTAAATACAGTGTTTGGAGCAATTGGGAATGAAAAAGTACCTACAAGTATTTCCGAGTTATTGACGGCACCTAATTCCAATTATAATTTACATGGTGATGCTATTTTAAAATTACCTAAAGTAAATTCAACAAAGTATGGGATCAAGTCATGGAGATACCAGGCTGCCCGGCTATGGAATACTATTCCAAATAATTTAAGAAATATTGATAGTTACCGCCGTTTTGAGCGTGGACTCAAGGAGCTCGACCTTGCAAGTTTATAGTCCCTTTCGCAATTTAACTTAGTTTTTCTTAGTATTTATTAAAGTATTATTTAGTTTCTATAATCTTATTGCAGTTTCCATGTACTATATCATTTTAAACACTTTTATGTAGTTGTAAGTTTATTGACCCTTATTCGCAATTTAACCTGGCTTTCTTAGTGTATAAGTTTAACAATAATTTTATAATTTTATGCAGTTTTATATGGTTTCTAGGCTTGTTTTTAGTTTTATGACTGACCTGTAAACGAGCTTTATAGCTAAGTGTTAGTTATGTTAATAAAGTGTATGTATGTATGTTGCATTCAGCTACTTTTGTTACAGCTTTTGCACGTAATTTGGTCCATGCCTACAAATTTCGCATTTTTCAAAAAACTGCTGGATAATTTTTTTTTTATAAACTTGACAATCCTGAGATCAATCGCCAATAAATAAAAAATAAATATTATACCCTGCAAGTTTCAAGAACATTGGAAACAGGAAAGGCTTTTAAATAGGGCCTCAGATATAACCAATTTTTCCCCCAGATTTTGTGTTTACAATCGAGCATCCTCATTATTCATTGGCATTGTTTTCAAGTTTGGATACAGAAATGTAATGTTCAAAAGGCAAATGTTGATTACTGCATACAACATTTATACAACGTTCGCATTTAGAATTGCAGATGTATTACACCAACGTATTTTCTTTTAAGTGAAATAAAGCTGTCAAGGGTTGTCTGCTAGAGGGAGTTGTTATATATGGTTCATACGAAAAAAGTACTGTATTTACATTAATTAATCATAAATGAATTGTTAAGACTTGCTGCGATTAATTGTAGAAGTGCCTTACAGATCAAATTTCCTATCCAGTCTTACTTAACTCATTCATCAGTCTCTGTAAAAACAGTGGCTGTTGTCAAGAGGTCATTTTAGCAGTTGGGGACATGGTTTAGTGGCCATTACCATTGTTGAGAGGTAGCCATTGTAGAGAGGTTTAAACAAGAGTCAATGCATGAACTGTCTGCTGGGTCAAAAAAAATGGCTATTGTAGAGTGGTGGCCGTTGTAGCGGGGTGGCCATTGTGGAGAAGTGGCTAGTAGTGAAGGTTTGACTGTATTAAACTAAAGGCCACTGTGGCAAGCCCGCATACCAACCACCTGCAAGCTGGCTCCATCACATCTCAAAAGCCACCTGAAACCATGGTTGGTCAATATAGTCTCAAATGTTCTGAAAGGATAGCAAATTGCATTTTGACACAGAAAATGTGAGATGTGAGATAGCTAGACCTTGCAGTCGCATCCTCCTTCAAAACCATTGTTTGGAAACCTGACTGTGTACATATGATACGATTATTAGTTATTTGTTTTTGTAAACAATGCATTTATAGATCTGTTCTTCATTCTTGTTGTAGTCACTTTCACAAGTCCAAACATTAAAGGAGTTAATAAATGCTACTTGCATTTCTTTTGGAACATGCATGGCAAAGATATCGGCACCCTTAGAGTTCTTGTGAACACCAAAAATCCTTTGCTTGGTCCCTATGGCAGGTGGATTGACTCAGGTGAGGCTGAAAGTAAAAGAGTTTTTAAGAATTGCTATTTTCCTTAAGTTTCTAAACATACCAAACACAGGAGGATTTGTGGGATAAATTAGTGGCTAATTACACTGAAAGATGAGCTTCTTAAAACCTTAATGACAGCCCTGAATAGTGTCTTGAGGAAAAACCATGAACGTGAAGAGCTGTACAAGTTACCCATTGCATGTACATGCTCTTAATAGGCAGGGATTAGGATTAGGCAGCTAGGGGGTTCATTTGATTCTACTTTGTGCTTTACGAATGTAGCTAGGGATCATACACATAAACATAAAGGATTTGTATGGGAATTCAGGTAATAGATTCAAGAAGATAAATCATCGCTCAATAAAAAACACTTTACCTCTGTCAAGTACTTGGTTTGTTCTTGCTTGCCATTTGGTTATTTTACTGATCTGCTGCGATTAAAGTGATTTCCTTTACCCCGGACAAGAACCACACAGCAAGCAAGAAGAAACCAAGTAATTGAGGTAAAGTGTTTTTTTTTATTATTATTATTTATCTTTTTGAATCTATGACCTGAATTCCCACACAAATCCTTTATGTTCATGGCCATTTGAGGACTACGCAATATGAGCCCGCACATATTAATGATTAAACTCTAATATTAAACCTGGGCTGCCTGTGGTTACACAAATCATGTAAGTGCATTTTAAGACTATTTTGTTCCCTTTTTTGCAGGATGGAGTATGACAGGATCTCAAGGCAATATCTGGCGAGCAGCTTTCGTAAATCTAGAGTTGGAGAAAAAGATTTATCAGATACGATTTAAGCATTCTTTGCCTGAAAACTCAGACTGTGGTTTCCCTCCATGTCCTGAATGCAACGCCATGAATAAGTGTCCAAATGCCAATGTTGCCATTGCAGGCATCAGGCTGGACTGCCATAAAGATGCCCCAAAAGCCCCCCTTGAGACTTGCAGAAAGAGAGAAGTACCGCTAGCAGGATGCGAAATTCTGGCTGTGAGGCCTTCTAGCGAGGGTAAGTCGCAAATTACATGTATGAGTTTAAGGACAGTGTACAAGACTATAGGGCTGTCAGTAATATCAGGGAGCTTAAGCAACGACGTTTTTGAGCGACGCACGTCTACCGGAAGTTGCCCTTTTTCATTTTTGGGCGATGGTTTTGGCCAAATTTTCAGTCAAATCGTCTCTATAAGAGTAAAGAAACTAAGCAATACAAATAACATAGCGTCAAGGCATACTACAAGGGAAAAGTCCTCACTTCCGGTTGACGTCTGTTGCTCAAAAACGTCTTTGCTTAAGCTCCCTAATGATGTGACAGTAGCCTGCGATCATGCCCTCTCCCTTTATCTCTGTTAAATCTGTTTTCGGGAGGAGGGCATGATACAATTCTTTCACAGATCGCATGCAAAAAAAGCCAGAATCTGGACTTCTTTCTGATTGGCTAGGGAAAAAGATGGATGATTTGTGCTGTTCCGATTGGCCAAAATGCTCCCATCCATTAGTTGTTGTTGATTTCAGTCCGCATTTTTGCTTAGCAGTGAATACACACACGAGTTCTGCCGGCTGTGACAGTTTTCTTGAATTTTAAAAATGTCTAAATTTTTATGAATTGTATCCATTGAAATATTTTCCATCTCATCGTATACTAAAAAGTTGCCGTCAAAAATTCACCGATCATTGAATGCAATTTGATACCAGGTACAAGTTACAGAAGCAACAAACAGATTCACTTTTCAAATAATCAATTCATGAATGGTTTGACTGTAATTCCTCCTTCAGAAACCTGTGAATTATTCTGAGCGATCTTCGCTTTCGTGACACTTTTTAGTTCGTGAAATATGGTGCACCAACTTAAAAAAAATATTTTCAATGCCTTCAGCACAGAACAGAACAAAGTCAACAAACTTTTACCAGTAAATTCTTTATTCATGAAAGGTACGGCAGTTCCAGCTAGCAGTATTTCATCACAAAACAAGAATCGCCGAAAGGCGATTTTTAACTGGGCTGCAAAGGGGCTATTTTTTTTTTAGGGGAGGGGGCAGCTATCACTGACACTAAGGCGACCATAAAACCTTGTCGCCGACCATTGCGTGAGACAGAATCTCATGTGAGACTAAAACATAAACTCATTCAGAACATTGTCCCCTTTTGAAAGACTTTCGTAACAAAAAAGAAAGTACCATTTTTAAGTGGGGGCTGTATAATAACTTTTAAATTCCACCACTATGAATAAAAATAAACAAGTTAGACATTAATTCTAAGCAGGAAAGGATTTGCATTATTTTTACGCACCCCTCCCCCAATCCCTCTGTGCCCCAAAATATAGCGTGACAGTTCTACGTGACTAATTTGACGTACGAGTATAAAATGCGACCGACTGTGCTGATTTGCACTACACAGAAATATTGTATTGTATGAAAACCAGAAGTATACTAAAACAGACGGCCAACTGTCCATTGATCCCGCCTGATCCAGGAACCTCACAGACTGCACTGAGACTTTACTGTGCTTTTCACAAACATGCGAACTCTAAAGTTCAAAAGCCACTATCACGACTGCGTTTTTCGCTTCACCTTGAAACAGAGAAACACACAAAACGGATCGAAATCCACCAATCACAAATCACAAACCATGACCTTTTGAACCCGTGAAGTAAAGTTGAGTTTCCTAAGAGGTCCGTTAAGATGATTGACAGCAGCGAAAAACGCAATCGTCGCTTGGCTTTCGCATGTTTGTGAAACGTGCAGTAAATAGACGATCCTAATTTGCGGTCTACACTACATGAAAACGCACTATTTTTTTCCACAAGATAAAAAATATTCAGTTTTAAGACTTTCTTCTTGGTTTTTTTCTCTAACTTAAAGGAATAAAATCCTTTGCATTTTGTGACCTAAAAAAGTTTAAAGATTTCTCGCTCGCATGTTGCTTTCATCAGCACTCACTTCAAACACAAACGATCGATAACATATTTTTTACCTGATACCGATATGAGTTAAAAATTCGCTCGAGTTCACTGTTTGTCTTACCCATGGCTAACTTTTCTTCATGGAAGATAACTACGCCGCTTTATAACTCCTCCGAAGTTTTTGTGCCAGCTAAACAGCACACTAAACAGTACGCTTGTTTATTTATATCATTTATTTAAACAATATGGAAACACTATTCACAGTCCTTGGATATTAAAAAGACTGAACGTGACGCACTATTGTGCCTTTGTTTACTTCTGATCACATCTTCAAGGGAAGTCTCTCTTTTCAAGCGATTCATCTCAATGCACAATAATTGACCCTTATATTAATTAAAGCCCTATGGTTCATTCATGTTAATGCTGTTTTTGCCCCTCACATTGACTGTGTTCGTTCGTATTCAAAACACCATTAGGAAAATAAAGGTCGTATAAGTCATGTGTATTATGTTTCGAGATAAATGGATCATACGCTTTTTTAAGTTTCCATTTTGCGGTGACTTCAGTTTACATCTTCATAAAATAGCTTAAAATGGTAGAAGAAATATCAAGAAACATCACGAGGGCTGAAAATTTTCGAAGGCATGTTTTCTGAAACTCGCTAATGCTAGCTGACATCAATATAGCGTGCTTGCTGAATGGGCGTAAACACAGAATTGTGATAACAAGATCATGTACAAATCTAATGACAAAAGCTTAGCAAGATACAGATACAAACAAAAGCAAACCCCTGAAACCTCAACCTGGGCTACACTTGTATGCTCTACTCAGTCACCAAACCTTGTCAGTAATATCCCCCATTTTCCTCAAGTTGGTCTTTGTGAACCTCCCGGAGGGATGTCCCGGTGAAGCTTTGAACTTGTGTGCGAAATTCTCAAAGTTTCTATTTTTGTCCGTGTCTTCTTTATCCCCAGTATCCGAAATTTAGACCTCCAAACTGGCGTGTGTTGCATTATAAATAGAAGGAAATATTAAAAGGAAAAGCCAGTCTTGTAATATGGCAAAGTTGTCACGTCCCTCGCTCATGGACGTTCATTTCTTAACATCAGGATTCATCTGACATTCGTCGGCAACTGAGTTGTTCGCTTCAGTGAGTACGACAGCTTACGGTCAAGTCTTCAACCACAGTGTCGCCAACTGGTGAAATACTTTGCTCATAAATTGTGCTTATTAATTGCTCATGGACTACATCGATCGATAATTCTCTCTTTGAGTTCACGAAACTGCCCCGGCGTTCCAAACCTGACGCTCACAGTCATCTTTTAGTGTGAACCTACCGTGAACGGCGTGTGGGTTTGTATGCAACGTGAGCATTTCTCTGAGTTTCCCAGCGCCAACATCATCAAGTGACTTTTGTCTTTAACTCAAACAATGACAAAACTTATAAAGTGACTCCTATGATCGAATCGCTTCGAACAACGCAAATAGCCTTCTTTAGGTTCGCAACGCCTTGTGGGTTTCCCAGGGTGGGTGGAGACGAGGTACAAAAAGTATTCGTGCAAGAGTCCGGGCAAGAGAAAATCATATGAAACCATTTGTGAGAACATCGTTTCGTTTTGTTTTGCAGTAGTTTTCGTTTCCTTAACAGAGTCTCAAACATTATTGTACAAGGCTTCACTGTAACCTCGCACGAATGCGCTGGCGTACGGAAAAATAAATAATGGTAATAGGACTGAGTGGAGTCCAATTCGGTCTGTAATCATACGAGTGATCACAGGGCGCCCAGAATCACAACAGCCCACTGGAAGCCACATTATAAGGATTTGTACGGAAATTTATCTTAAGATCGATAAAATGGTTAAAATGTGCAAAAACAGCTATTTAAGTATACATACCTCATGAAAAGTTGTGTCTTTGTTGTTTTCTTACTGTTTCCTGCCCTATAAACGCCATTTTAGCAAGTTTTCATGTTTTGGTTTTTCAACTATTAAGAAGAAGTACTGTCCTATGAAACTGTCCCACTAAGGCTGAAGTCAGGGCAGTTGATAACCAATCAGATTTGAGAATTTTGTTATAGTTATGATTACGTTTAGTATTGCAATGCTGATAGTGTCTTTTGCTATATACTCATAGGTCCTGCCTATAGTACTGAGAGAGTCGTTTTGGATAACTATGTGAAAGCAAATGGTTCCTTGTATGACCTGATAGCTAGTTATGAATTTAAGGTGTCTTTCTTGGCTGATTTTGTTGTGTGGAAACAAATGTTTGCAACCTCAAACAAAACCAACGACATCTCGTTTAGAATTGATGAGGGAGACTGGGTACATTGGATCCCACCACAGAAAGCTTCTCATGCCTTGTGGACACAATATTACCACCAGGTATGAAACAATTATTTTAGGCCTACAGTAACTCTTGTGCTAATAGAGACCTTTAGATTCTAAGACGAGAACGACTACGACGACGAGATTGCCTCAATACTAAGTAGTGCGCGCACGTGAATCAGTGTCATTTTGGCGGGAAAACTTGATAGCCGTCATCATCAACTCGTAGTAGAGTCTACTACGAGTTTTGGTGAGAATGTCGTAGTGGCAGAAACAAGTTATCAAGTGTTAGAAGTTTTAGCATTTTGCGATCGGGAGAGGGATTAACCCTGCTTCAGTAAAGATAACAGTGCTAACTTTGCTGGTGGAAAAAATGCAATGAGCCTTTCTAGGGTGTCTATTTTCTTAGAATACGCGAAAAATACTTTCAGTTGAAAATCTCGTACTCGTTGTCGTTCTCGTCCTCGAACCTAAAGGTTTCTTATCTGATCTTACTGTATATGGAGCGCTTTTCCTCCGTGCATGTGCACTGCATTTTCATGGTTTGTCATCATGCATGACTACAGTCAAGCCAGGGCTCAAAATAACGCCTGGTCGTTGTCTGGCCTAGATGACATTTTGTCCGGTCAAACTTTCTAAAACACTCCTCCTAAACTTCCATCATTCCACAATGTCTCTGTAAAATTTTATCTTAATTGCCTCTAAAACAGCTGAGATATAAGCTTTTTAAAATATTTAGCGCAAGCAAACGTTTGCCTATGAATTTATTCATAGATAGGTTTCACCCGCGGCCTTGAGCCCCCTTATTTTGTAAGTACTGGATAATCACTGATCAGACAATTGGCTTTCATTTTTGCAGTTAATAAATATTGATTGATCATAGCCTGCTTGCAAGCTCTCCGTTTATGGCGAGCGACGAATCCGCGAGGGTCACCCCTCGCACTCGCGTCTCCTTTCGCCTGCTGCTCTCGCATGACTTCTCGCGACTCACCCAAATGGAGAGCCTGCTCGCAGACTAGATTGATCAATACTTAACACCACTCCCTCATGCGATTTTCAGACGTTTACTCTGAAACCTGGTATCCACACAATATCCTTACGTCAAGTAGAAAAAGGCTTCCGCCTCCTAAAGCTTGCTGTTGTACCAGTCAACATATCTGTGTGGACTGACTTAGGAATGCAGAGTCGGTATATTCCAGACAGCTTTCTAGATGGCCATCCTTCCTCTCATCCACCAGCAAGATTTGGTCGAATTCATGCTAAAGGTTGGATCCTTACTTAAACACCTGATTGAACGATGAGGCCTTATGGATTGTTTGGGTGGACTGAAGTTTATTAGCATTGCAAATTCAAATTTCTTACAATGCTACGTCCACATGAATCCGGATATCCAAATCCGTTCACCTAAACCGGTTTAAGACCCGTCCATGCGAATCCGGGTAAAGAACATGCGGTGTTAAAAATCTCCGGACTCGTGTGGACATGACCCAGAAGAGCTTACATTATCACAAGCTACTCGCGTCGTTACATTAGCCCAATGTAGTGGTTGAATGCCCCTCTCAAAGAAGAATTGTTTTGCAGATTGTGAATTCGAAAAATAGACTTTGCTGAACAAGCCATTCGCTTCAAAAAGCTGTTCCTTTATCTTAAACTCCTCCATCTCACTATTCGAGTAGCCTGCGTAGCCGCGGCGCTCGCTCCCCGTGGCAAAGCCACGAGAATGGTATCTTGTGTACAGACCCCCACCCCTCCCCTCAGGAGGAGGGGAGGGGTGGGGGTCTGTTTACAGGCTACGAGAATGGCGGGCTCGCCGCCAAACTCTCACACGCAAAAACAATCCCGCCAGCTGCGTAGGTTACTATGAGAGAGATGGCATCTATCGAACCACGTCGTCAGTCGCGGATTGTCCAAAGATGTTAAACTTGACATTTCTGGTTTAAATTTCCCACTCCACCCAGGCAATGGTCAAATTACCCACTCTCCTGGCACAAGTGACGGTTCAATGCCCTGGGTTTGCCCCAGAAGGAGGGGCGGGGGGTTTGTTGAAGTTTCAAATTGATCGGCGCAAAAGTCAACAGAATCGCCTGTTTCTTCGGTGCTCGTTATAGAGCGTAACCACTTCGCAAATGCACACTTGAAAAGTTTTTTTGAAATGAGTTCAGAAACAAAGTACTCCGAAAATTTGCATCTGC